GAGAGAGAGAGAGAGAGAGAGAGAGAGAGAGAGAGAGAGAGAGAGAGGTAACTGGGAACAGCTGCCTGCCAGTCAAGTCTTCAAACTGACTGTTCCGATGGAGAAGGGCAGCACCAAGGCTTTCTTGATAGGATAGGATGCCTCTGTGGCATCTCTTTACACTTTTGTGCACTTTCTAGTGTGAATAACCTCCGCCCTGCCGAGGGGCCCTTGAGCAAAGATGAGTCCAGCTGCGGGGACTTGCTCTTCTTCTCCAGCTCTCTTGACCTCTGATCTCCTCAGGTAGACGGGAAAAAAACAACAACACACACCTTCCATAAAGATCAGCGAAAATGACCATTTAAGTCAGCTTACTTACTCCAACGACAGTGGCACGTCTCATGGCACTCTGCAAACATTTAAGTGGCAGCTAATTTTAAAATAACCAGGCTGAGAGTACTTCCTGAACACGGCAACAATGGGAGAGCCCCGGAGCGTGGCAGGAAAACGGCTCATTTGGGAAACCGTGTTGTTGTGCTGCCTCTCTCTCTCTCTCTCTCGCTCTCTCTCTCTCTCTCTCTCTCTCTCTCTCTCTCTCTCTCTCTCTCTCCTGCAGGATGTTTTGAGAGGCAGCAGACAACACAGCTCATTTGGTATTCCTTGTTTGACCTGTGTAGGCTTAGTGCACGTTTTCTGCTGTGTATTATTCATTTTTAATTGGATAAGCCTTTGGCTCATTTCCGCATTGTTTGTTCGATCTTCTGATCTGAGGCGATCATGATTCAGGCTAATAAGTGCCTACAAAGAAATTATTTAACTCTCTGTTTTATTGATTTGGACCTGCCCCCCTCCTCTTGAACACAAATGCACTCCGCACCTCCCATCCGGAGGCTTTCCATTGACTAGATTCATTCACTAACGCGATACCACGCATGCTCTTGCTCACTCACAGACACAGTGCCAGATCTGTAGCAGGTGAGATGTCTGATGCTGGCTGTCCTTTGGCCTCCAGCTCTGGTGGCCTGATTTACAGGCTGACCCAGCTCCCCGGGGGAATCTCTTATCCTCGGACTGTCCCGACAGAAGCATTAGTGATAAATATTTTGAACACTTCCCCACATGTAAAGGAATCCCATAAAGCGAATAAAGGACATTAATGCAATCCACTGGAAGCGTTTGCCCTCGATCAGCTGTCCTGGCTTGTCCGGAAAAACTCACACCACAAACACTTGTGTGCATCATATGAATGCACACTTATTCCATCTGACTCACATGTAAAAATCACGAGTGCCTTTCCCAACCCCCCCCCCGTTCAAATCACTGGAACTTCCAATCTCAACATATTATAGTGCATGGGATGGAACGAGGTCACTCTTATTTATAGATGCTCAGGTAGGGAGCCAAGTTCCTCTCCACAAAAATCCGCCATACACTCCTACCTTCCTCCCTCCACCCAACACTCCCTCACACACACACACACACGCCCACAAATGGGCACAGTAGCAGCCCCCTCCTTGGCAATAAATCCCTGTTTTCTAAATGAAACGCTAAGCAGTCTCTCCGGGCGTAGAGCAATGATTCAGAATAAGCACAGCACAGCTGGGAGCTGCAGGTGCAGGTGCAAGGACTTTTCTCCCATTGTTTTTTTTTCTCCTTTCGCCACATCGATTCCTCCTCCTCTTTGTCTGTCTTGGACATTTGTTTTTCTCCCCCCCACCCCTGGCACCTTTCATTCTGCTTTACGTCCCCCAACCCTTTCAAACTGGTCTTTTACTTAGATTAATGTGATTTAATAGCCTTTAATTCCCCCCGTTTATTTCCTCAAAATCCTCAGTGTCATTTTCTCTCGTCACTCTCTCTCTCTCTCTCTCTCTCCCTCTCTCTCTTTCACCAGTCGACGGTGGAGGACAGCTATACTCACAGTTTCAATTCTGGGCTGGCACCTGGGCGTGTCTGCCGGGAAGATTTGCTGTCATTGACGTTTATGGGTCGGACTGATAAAATTATTGTTCAAGCCACTGCAAGCACAGAAAGCGAGAGAGAGAGACAGACGGAGAGACAGATCTGGGCTTTTCTCAATAAGAGAAAGAGAAATAGGGAGAGAGAGTAGGGAGGTCTCCAGGAAAAGTGTTTCAAACGTGGCACCGAAGAGGGTCCGTGGTGGTCTGTTACCCTTAAAGAGGGCTGACCTTCGCGGTGACATATGCACAAACACGTACACTCCCCCGGAGACGCCTGACAAAGACAGCCGCACTTTATTCTTTTATCCACTCTGACTCCCCTCCGTTCTGTCTCGCCCTCACTCAGTCCGAGGGGCAGTTCATTGATCTGGAATTATCAAAAAAAGAGTGGACTGGGCTGTTATTCAGGAGGGCAGCAACAGGTGTGAGTGTGAGATACCAAAACACACATATGTGTTTTGGTATCTCACAAAACACATATGTGTTTACCCTAACCCTTTACATTTGTCAAGTTAATATATACACAATTCATTTTTTTTTTCCTTTTTTTGTTTTGAAGATGAGACTGACTCCTTGTTAGTGTTCTTGTTCTTTTTCACACATTTTCTGAGTGCTAATTACACAGTAATTACAGTGTAACCACCACCTTTTACCTTAAAGTTGTAAAGAGACAGCATGGAGGTCCATGCTGTCTCTATTTCTAGGTCGAGCCATTTCTAATAATGTGCCGGTTCATTGTTCAGTCGTACAGAGTTTATTCATCCTCCTCTGCTGTGGAAGATTGAAGGATGCTCAGCGTAGATGAACCCGCTATACGCTTTCCCGTGGTCTCCTCTTTGTGCACTGTACAGATGGAGCCGCGTCACTTCCATCACCGCTCACGACGAAATCGTCCCTTCAAAGCTGACCTTCGGCTAACCTCTCGTCTCTCCCAAGAAGGTTTCTGCGTGCGACTCGTCCTTTCAGACCTAACACCCTTCTGCCGGCGAGTGCCGTTCGTCGATGGAGCCATTTCAACAAAGGAGTCTGGTTTCAGGAGCGGCAGTGTGACAAGCCACGGAGGCTAACGATGACAGTGATGAGGAGTGCCAGTCATTAAGGCGGGGGTGATTTCTGACTTCGGTTGACTTCAGTTCACGGGGTCTTCCTCACCTTTCCTTGCTCCTTCATCTCCTCACTCACAGGCATCTGGCGTTTTAGACCTAATGGTCTAGCAGCTGGAAAAAAGGGTTAAGAGTTTTAGTTTGCAGTTTTGACAGGCAACACGGACACACAAACGCTCTAAAGCGAAAGCAGCCCAATACCAATGTGGACATTGTAAATGTACGCTGGTGTCACTGTGGCAATCGGCTGGCAAATGGGCTTTCTAGTGTGGGGCTTTGAGGTTTTTCAGTCTACGCCACATTCTTCTTATCTGTGTTGTTTCCTGTGGGGAAGGCGCGACCACAGTCTGTGGTGCTACAGTGCTCTTCGGAGGTTTATTTATTTATTCATTTACCTTTTTGGAGTCAGCTGGTATTGATAGAAAACAACTCTAACTCTAAAAGCTTCCCGTAAGCGAACGCATAGACCCATTGCGTGCACCCTCATCCAACATACACACACCCACACACACAAGCTTGAACCCAAGTGGACACAGCGGGACACACACACACACACACACACACACACACACACACACACACACACACGACTGTGCACTTGCTCAGAGTTTTCTTTTGTCTTTTAATGGGAGACCCCGAAACACAGAGAGTTTTTATATTTATCCGTGTGTTTCCCCTGCGACTGTGGTGGAGCAGCACGGCGCTGCAGTGGGCTATAAGGTCAAACGCTATCTTAACTCCGCCGTGGGAGGGTGTGACCTTTGAGGGTGAAACACAGTCTTCTTCAATCTTCTCTCCCCTGACGTCGCCAGCCCACTCTCCCAAGTCAGGGAGTGGATGAGAGGAGGATGAAGGGGGGGGGGGGGCGATGAGGGATGGAGATAGTGAGAGCAGTAATTAAAGTAAATATGTCCCCTTAGCGCTCCATTAGAATCCGCCTGTATTTGATATAAGTGGCCTAATTATGCAAAACGGCAATGGACGTGGCGTGGTGTTATCGTGAAATGTGCCAAGTGAAAAAAAAAAGCCTGGATCCTGAGTGGATTAATGGCTTATTTGGGAGTGCTGATGAGATCTAGTGGGTAGAGAAGGCAGAGAAGAGACGGACAAACACACACACACACACACACAACAGGCCTCAGTTACCATGTGTGAAGGACGCAATGGAACAATGCGACGCTGTCCCTCCAGTCGATTG